ACCTTAAGTACTTTGTTTGTCAATGGGTCGCCGGACCGAGAGCGATATCCCTACCGTCTGCGGGTTGCTTTCGTCGAGTTCCTCTACACAATCCCTACATATTCAGCACGTTCCTGACCTCTTTCGAGCGAACTGGAGACGATTAGACTTGAAAAGAATCGAGACGAAGGAGGCGTTTAATCAGCCTGGGCTATCGGTATGCAATCCCTGCTCTCTCCCGGTGTTCTACCATCCATGGGCGATGAAGTCCTAAGGCAGTTTGTGCTGGATTCTGATGAGGAGATCGAAGATTCTCCGAGTTCCAAGAGGGACAGTAGAACCAATATTGAGATGACAGTCTTTGGAGACGATGATATCATCGAGATGAGGGTCGGGGTGAGTCCTTTTTCTGTTCGTTGTTCGCTGCATCAAACGCGATGATCGCTTTCAATTGACAACTCACTCGTTCCGCTTATCTTCAGCCAAGGCATTTTACCAACGGCAACAGGCGAGCCGTAGCCGTAAGCAATGCCCTGGTTGGAGGATCACAGACTTTTGAACACTAACGACATTTCTTTTCCTCGATATTTTTCTCCTCTTCTCGGATTGGTAGATCAAGCGAGAAGCGCTTGACATGAATCATCCCAACGGATCACCAAGGTCTGTCGGCGAACGGTCATCGGCACGTGGACCCACGCCCGCCAATGCATCATTTACGTTCGGTGGTGACCACGGCCGAACGGGTGTGCAGACTACGGAATCTTTGCGAACCACTTCTGGCGCCAAATCATCCCTTCACACCCATCAACGCGCAACATTCACTGCTATACCAAGCACTACAGCCCCTCCAACTCATGGGAGCTGCAAAAGCAAAAGCCAAGCTAAGCGACCTGTACCTTCACCCGCCACCGCACCCGATGCCACGGGACAATACGAATCCTCAACCTGCCATCAATGCCGTACCAAGACTACTCGACCAAAGATGATCTGCGATCAATCCTTGAATCCCAATTGCCTCGTTCGAATTTGTCGCCCGTGTCTGATGGATCGAAAGGCTTACGACGAGATGCCTAAGCTTCGAGGGCCGCTCTTCAAATTCGTCCCTGGCGGCAAAATCCTCTGCATGAAGTGCAGGAATATCTGTCCTTGCGCTTCCTGTCGGAGGGCCCGAGGCGAGAGAGGGGTGATGGGTAATGGGTTGAATGGGTTTTACGACTTAATGCGCGACGAGCCAAAGACCGAAGCACCGCTAAGGAAAACGAAAAGGAAAGAAAGAGAACAAGCGAAACCTAAGCAGTCACCCGGCCACCCAATCGTCGACAAGTGCAAGAATGAGCAAAAGGGAGCTGAAGTAGTTTGCTTGGAAGAATCTTGGGATGAACTTGTTGGCAAATCTAATCGAACGATCATATCCGGTAAGAATGGCAAGACTACAGGACAATCACACGCTCGATCCAATCGCATCGGATCCAGAGCGTCTGTGGGCTCAGAAAGTCGCCGGATCCGGTCTGGATAGCGGGATGCTCGCGGAAGCGAAAGTTCTGTGCCAAGCAGTTCACCGATGAGGAGAGTGATTGTTGTATCCCGGTCGATGGGCCGACGATCCCAGCACCGAAAAAGGAGAAGCCCGGGTTCCGCTCGAAGGATCCCGAGGATGTCCGCCAGGACCGGCTCGAAAGACAGCTGGATTCCCAGATCCGCGAGCTCGAACTCCGGAGGGCGCGCGAAGAACTCGAGCGGAACAATGCAACCGCTGACGCTTTCACTAAGGCTAAGATGATCCAGCAGTTCTTGCGCTGTGGGTTGAACCTTGAAGACGCCTTGAGGGCTACTAACGAATGTCTCTGCTTGCCCACTCAATCTCCAGCTCGCCGTTGATTGCTTAAGTCAATTAAATCTGCTTCGGAACAACAGTGTATCATCCTTTTTTTCTTCTTCTTCTTCCAAGCTTGCAGCTTGCTATAACAATGTTGAATTTCTTGTCGAGATCCCTAGCAACAATATGAAGTTCGCCTTGATCTGTATTTGCAAATGAACAAAACTTGGACCGCGCCGAAATTCTTTGTGCATGTGCATTGATTTTGTCTACATATGATTGCTTTGCTCCCTCTCACAACAATTGTAAGTTAATGTTGTGGCATGCTTTCTGATACGGCTCATGATCTGACTTGTGATCGCCGCCATCGGGATGAACCTGGAAGCAAGACCTTGTACATAATTACAAAAATGTATCCATATCCGTCAAAGAATGTTCACCAGGAGCACTGACCTGCTATGGTTCATAAACTCGGCGATAGAAAGTCAAAGAAACCTATCTATGTATACAAAACAAAATGGAAGACCCGATCTATGCAGTAAGAACGCGGCAGAATGAAGAAACGCCACAGGTAAAGCTTAAGGAATAGCCAAATCGTGGGGCTTGGTTCTCTTCCGATCTCTTCAGGTTGTACTTGCAAGTCATGGCCCCACTTGAGCCCACTTGTGTTGAGGCACAAGCCAGCTACTGAGCCAGACATCATATATTTACTTGATTGTCTATTTGTACTTGATGCCTTCAACCGGATCATCGTTGAGCCGGTCGAGTAATTTTCCTCTCTTTTTCTTCTAGTCACTGTGGTCTTATAGTCATTGCCATTCCGTCAAGCTGGAGCAAGACCATATCTAACTGGGAGTGAGTGTCTTCTTGGCATTCGTAAGTCAGCCACCGTTGGCTATCCGTAGTTTGACAAGGCTTGTCTCACCTGCCTTCACATGCTCCGGATTCAAAGACCCAGGAACGGACGAAAAGACCATTGTTCTATCGGATCCTCTTGTCGCCATGCAGCCTAGGCCCTCTTCTAACCTGAACCACAATCGATTCATCTTTCCCTCTGATCAAGCCGGCTTAGAAGCAGCCGACAGTTCAGGCGATGAAGCGCTTGCGCCATACACTCTGCTCTCCGATGAGCAAGATTCTCCCCCAAACACGCCTGCTCCTGTCGCCTCTGCTGGAGCTCCCAAGGCGACCCTGAGTAATATTCGGCCGATCTCGAACCCTCTCGCAAATAATTTTCTAAACATTCTCGAGCAGTCCTCAAGTAAAAATCAAGATAGTCAAATCACCAGTGCTGTCGCCATGGATAAGCGATTTGCTGACACCAACGAGCGGGCAGCAATAGTAAGTGTTATGATAGTTTGATTGCTGCATCTGCTGGCGACTCCGCACGGCGACCTGATTTTTTTTTTTTTCTTTTGTGTT